AAGGGGGACTTCGGCCCCCCTCCCGCACCCCCCCGCCGGTAAGCAAGGTGGACTTCGCTTTACAATGTAGCATGTACTTTGTAAGTTTGGGTCCCCTATTCGCTATATTTACCAAAGTTGCTGCTAACGGTTAATTTTCTGAAAATTTATTGATTTATGTCTGTATTATAAAATAAAATAATTATATTGTGTCTTATAAGACAATATAATGAAAGCAAATAATAAAGACAAAGTTATACATTTTTAATATATACTACCTTGTTTTTTTAATTATTTTCAGAAAATTAACAGTTAGCAGGAAATTTTATTATAATTTTAGAGGCAGAGGCAGAGGCAGAGGCAGAGGCAGAGGCAGAGGCAGAGGCAGAGGCAGAGGCAGAGGCAGAGGCAGAGGCAGAGGCAGAGGCAGAGGCAGAGGCAGAGGCAGAGGCAGAGGCAGAGGCAGAGGCAGAGGCAGAGGCAGAGGCAGAGGCAGAGGCAGAGGCAGAGGCAGAGGCAGAGGCAGAGGCAGAGGCAGAGGCAGAGGCAGAGGCAGAGGCAGAGGCAGAGGCAGAGGCAGAGGCAGAGGCAGAGGGAGAGGGAAAGGGAGAGAGAGAGAGAGAGAGAGAAGAAAGGCTAATTGGCGCCTGAGTCACAGATATCTATACTAAACTAGATTACTAATTGGGACTCCGGATTTGCGTCGCATGAAGTTTCCGGTTATATGAGAAGAAATGGCGGCAGTCCTGTGTGTATGAAGTGTGTCATTTGTTTGAGGGTACAAAGGGTGCGAACTCAGGGTGCGAACCGATGCAGCGGATTAGCGTAACGGGGAACGAGAGCGGAACCAATCACGAGCGTTCCACAGTTTCGTTCTGTTTTCAGTAGTTTCTAGCGGAATAGGTTTCACAGATTGCGTAATGTACATACACATCTCTACATATACACATGGTAGTAAAAGCTAACTTCAAAATTTTCCTTTATCTCTCAGAAATGAGTAATAACTTGTAATAATTAATAATTTATCTTTGTTTCTGTACTGACCACGTTGCTCTACGCTGCCAATTTAACAAAGTATATGTGTACATACATACAGTTCCGTCATTTTCGTTACGTGGATTTCAAGTCCCTACATCCCCATGGAGCGGAATGAGCGCAAGCAGAACGAGCAGAACGTCTCTAAAATGACTTTTAAATATTGTTTTTATCGGTCGTTCTTTATTATCGTGTACATAAATATTGAAATGAATGCGTTTTTATTGGAAATATTGATTAAAAATGTTAAATTAGTTAAATTAGTTTTAATGCGGTTTTAACTCTTTTGAAATAATGACTCGTGATTGATTGCGCATTGGTCCGCGGTGCGCTCATTACGCTCCATGGGGATGTAAAGATCGTGAGCGTAGCGAAAACTGCAGAACGCTCGCGATTGGTCATGCTCTCGTTCCGCGTTACGCTATTCCTCTGCATGAGTTCGCACCCTAAGGACTTGGAATCCACGTTGTGATTGCCTCAGCCAATCAGAAAGCACCAATTGCAAGTATGATTGGAGCGTAGCAAATCACAATCACAAACGCAATCGCAATCGCAGCCGCGAGCCGCTAGTGTGATTCGGGCTTTATGCTATTCTGCTGCATGGGTTCGCACCTTAAGAACTGACTATGAATACCGCCCTAAGTTCTTTATAAGAATTTATTGTCTATGGCGTGTACCAACTAAACATGAAGAGAAGGTTACGATAATTGTGGCGCGTATTATATATTGTAAATATAAATTATTTACTGCAGATGACATAAACGCTTGCTATTGACGATATGGCATTCACGTTCGGAAGTCCAGCGGTCACCTCTAGTAACACGAGTTTTGGATTTGGGACTCAAAAGTAAATATAATCGACGTTAATCTTCAAGAGATTATTATAGTTTTAATATATAATTTATGTATGAAAATATATATTTTCTCCCTCATTTAATATTTCGTATGATCGATTCATATAAAATTATGTTTTCTGTGAAGGAGAAAAGATTAAGTGCTTGATTATCACACACAATTGTTTTTATTATCCAGGACAACAGGCTTCGGTATGAGTAACACGTTTGGCACTACAACTCCAACGTCTAGTACATTAACGTTTGGCGCTCTGCCCGCTCCAACGACATCCATAGGTCTTAATTTCGGATTTGGTACTACAACAACCTCTACGCAAGCACAAAGCAGCGGTTTGCTTCTTGGCACCAATGCAGTTACTACAATGACCACTGGTCCCTCTTTATATCCCACTCCTAACACATCCGCGCCTTTATTTTCGAGTCTTAGTTTTGGTACACCAGCTACAACAAACGCTCTAACATTTGGTGCAACATCTAATACAACAGCAACAGGAAGTTTAACCTTTGGTACAGCCACCACCAATAGTACGTATATTTTACCATTTCATTTGCCCTAAAAAGAAAAAAAAATGAAATTTTTTCTTAGTGTGATACAATTGTTATTTATATGCAGCTTCTTTATTTGGATCCAGTAGTGGAAGTACTTTATTGGGTGCTAAACCGACAATTGCTGCCACTACTACAACTAATACAAATAAAGGACTTGGTGGTTTAGATGTTTCGGTTAACAATAAAGGACTTTCTCAAGGAAATAGTAGTTCAACAGCTGCCAAAGAAAATCTACTGCCAAATGAGCTTATGCAAACAATAGATAAATTCAAGTAATTATCTTTATTTATGCATATAAGATATGTCTATATACAATATTAAGATATTTTTATTTTACAGAGATTTTGTAAAAATGCAAAAAGGCCTATCTTCAGATATCGCGAGGGGTTCGGCGCGACCGTTGAATCGATGCGCAGAAGATACAGCATCCTTAATGGAAATCTTGTCTACTTTATCTGGCTCAGTGCAACGTGACTGTTCTTCAACTGTTAAGTTAAAACAAGACACGGCAAAGGCGTTGCAAAACTGTGAAATAGCTCAAAGGACTCACGATACTCCACCAGGCTTGCAATATGAAAATAACGCGCCCCTTCAATTTTTCATGGAATTAGTTGAAAGCTTCGAGCATGATTTGATGTTATTCAGATCACAAATTGAGACAACGGAAAAGCATATACAGGCCATGATGGCGCCGAGAACATTAACCCCACAGGGTATGTTTCTCGATTCTTCCATTATATAGATTTATTAGGATTTATTAGAAATATTTTTAATCATGCTTTTTTTGCTTTATCATTAGAATTGACAATAACCATGAGTAAACTTCACGAGTCCCTAGTCGCGGTTGCTGGCCGATTACAAAACGTGCATGCCAAGGTGCAGCAACAGAAAGAACAGTATCTCAATTTCAGGAAATATGTATTGAAGGATAACACCAACGTTTTTGATAATATCAAGGCAAACGGTAAATCTAGTCGTAGCAGCATCGAAAAGATCACGAGCGGTCCCACTCCCTTTGGACCAGGTAATAACATTTTATGTACATTTCAAAATAATTTGAACATTGTAAGTCTTGAAAAACGAGGTTAATGCTTACAGGAAATAAAAGCTTTTTGTCGTCGACGACATTAAACTCGAACCGGCCGGCGAATTATGAAACACGAAACCCTTTAGGTAAATAGGTCTTGTTGTTGACTCTCTTGTAATTCTATATCCTCGAGCTACGAGTAAGAAATTTTTTGTAAGAAATGACTTTAATTGCCCCCCTTCCCTCCTAAAGATTTGCTACCTTCAGGTCTTGCGTGGATCTAGTTATGAGAGGTAGAATTTACTAACATATAACGTCGTTTACTACTCAATAGAATTAACAAGTGTTTATAATTAATTTGTCTATTTTTCTTTCCTTTCTCTTATTTGATGAATATCCTTGACTTTGAGCTTTTTTTTACTTGTATGATTTGACTTTTATTTTGCCTTTCCAGGAAAAAAGTAGAGGCTGTAGTTTAATTATTGAGGTATATTAAATTTTTTTATTTCAGTTTCTTTATGTTATTGTTGATTACGGGAAAGGGGTAACACGCTTTTTTTTGCCTATATATAAACTTTTTATGTATAGTAACCAATTAACTTTCATATAGATGATTATATCGCGATATTATTAATCTTTTATATACTTTGCATTTAGACGCTATCTCGAAAGATTCATCTAAAGTTACGCTTTCTTAATATAAATGATAGCGCCTTTACATGTATGTGCTTTGACTGCTTTTGGCTTTATTAATATTATATAATAATGCTTGCAAATATAGATACTAATCAAGAAATAGATCATAAATTCTGTTATGGATTCAAACTCTGCAGAATGTATGTAAAAATGTTAGAAGTACATACATATGTGCAATGTTTCAATCGAATTTGAGATGGAAAATCTTTTCTTAAAAAGCTAAATTAAATTAAATTAGATACAAGGATTTTAAATGTGCTAACACAGATTTAATAAAAATATCAATTAATGCCAGAACACATGGGCCATGAATTGAGGATCTCTAACAAATGATATCAAAATGACGGAATTGGCTTTATAATGTCTCTTGAAATATATTTTATGAAAAAAAAAATTTATATATATATTTATTATTTTTAATAAAGTGTAGAAAATATTCCATGGCTTTAGCTATTATACATGTTTTGTCTCCATGTCGGTAAGTAAATAAAATTTAATAGTATAAATATATTGTTACAGTTTGGGAAAGTTCGACACCGGTATCGTCTGCTACTAACATTGCGATAGGCTCGTCCATGAAACCGCCAACAGCAAGCTTAAATTTTAATGCGCCGATTAATTTGACTGCACCATTGCCAGCAAACGGAAGCAGCTCAAACTTTCAACTACAAAAGCCCCCCGTTGGTAATAAAAGAGGGAAACATTGATAGCTTGTTTCAGACATGGTAATTTTTATAATCCATTAAATTTTTTATAGTTCAAATTCAACATATGTAAAGTTTTCTTCATCATTGTCGATATTAGAACAAATACGTTTAAAAATTATATATTCAGTATTGATTATGCAATGTATCATTGTAATATTTTTTTTTAAATACGTTATACATTAAAATGTGCATTCTAATATGTGATATTTTTATTAAAATTTATACCTTATGTTACAAATATTCCATGTCTTATATCAATTGTCATATTTTTATATTATCACATATTTAAAGTTTAGTTTTGAGAGAGAAATAAGGCCCTGCGCACAATAAAGAAAATATTAGGAATAGAAATAAAATATTAAATATCAGGAAGAGCAATTTGGAATTATTTTACTTCAAACAAGGAAACGGAATGGATTAATTATTTCTAATTTTTATTTTTTTGTTTCATTCCCTTGTTTGAAGTAAAATAATTCCAAATTGCTCCTCCTGATATTTAATATTTTATTCCTACTCCTAATATTTTCTCTATTGTGCTCTATTGTGCCTTATGCTCTAGGGAAAGTACATAAATATATTAAAATAATTTTCTATTATTATCTGCCCAATTATATTAATATCCTTGTTTATTTGTGATTATATATGTATCTATCTTGTGTTTAATGATAGCAAAATATTATAAAGGTTAATAATGGCAAAACATGTAAATACATTGAGTTCATAAGTTGGTCCCTCTTTTGAATATAAGTGCTAAATAAAAAGGGTAAAACAGAAAGTATTTGTGAAGTGTGAAATTGCTATAATCTATGGTTAGGTCGAAAACTATATTTAACAATATCATCTAGATTAAATATAAAGTATATATAAAAAGTTTCTTTATATTTTTATAATATTTCATCAGATTGCACCAACTTGTAGAATAGGGATGAGAAGTTTGAAGGCATCTTGAATATATGAATTTGCGTTACAAGCCTGTGTGAAAAAAATAAGATCATAGTATTATAATCATTGCGTGTGTATGTATGCTCTTTTCGAATTATTCAACAGAGAACTTACTTCTGACAAAATCCTTTCCAAATTCGCTTCAATATTATTCGGTTTTTCCGCAGTCTCAGCAAATTGATGTAATGTATCATAGAATGAATTAGCTAATAAGTTAATCTGATCAGACAGGATATTGGTAAGTTGCACCAAGGCGTCGGCTTCGTTGACGGTACTACGCCGTTCCTTGATTAATAGCAATTCTGCCGTTTTATGAAATCTTTCTATAGAAAATGCCGTAAATTGTGCCAGGGTCGATATAGCGTTTTGAAAGATTTCCTGGTCTGTATATGTTGAAGACGATGCGAGATAACTTTTCGTTTCTGTCCAAACCTGAAAATATCGAATGAGTGTTTATAATATGATAATAAATAAAATTCCACTATTACTATAGATATTTTCTTACACTATATAGCCTTTCATAACTGATATTGACACCAAGATCGTGACAAGCGTTTTCCAATTTGTTTTTCAAGTCTTTATTATTTTCGTCATCTTCATCATCTATATCATTCAGATTACAAAGTTGTTTGATTTCTTCCAATGTTTCTTGCACAGAAGTCAATTCGTTCGCGTCTAATTCGATTAAATATTGTTGAATTTTCATATTGCTCTGTTTTGATAATATTTCTAGAGCTTCCAAGTGAACGAGACCTTGATAATCGTCAAAAAGGCTCTCGAAATGTACTTTCCTCGCCAATTGGCGCTCCTCGATTGTTTTCTGCTCGGTCTCGGCTTTTTCCTTTGCTTCTCTAAGAATTTGCGATAAATTTGGCTTCTCAGGTTCGTTCATGAAGAAGGCTCTTTTCTTTTTTAATCCAGGATCACCATCTTGCAATACTTCCATTGTTTTCTTTCCAATAGCCTCCAATGTATCTAAACCACCTGTCATAACTTTGCTAGTAAATTCTTTGCCAGTAGATTCAACCAACTTTGTAATAGAAGATACTCCTGATATCAAATTTCCGAATCCAAACGTGCTATACGATTGAATTTCCTTCCCTTGAGTTTCCAATTTCACATCTATTAATATAAAATTGGCAAGTTTTAGTCAAAACCAATTCTTATACATTGACTATTATCTTTATATATGCAATTGAGTTATTAAAATGCTATAAAATATAAAATATAAAATTTATGCTAGATACTGTACCATCAAGTATGGCAGTTTTGTCTTGCTCTATCTCTGCCAGTTCTCTAGGGTCCTGCATTCCTATTGTACCTTCCAAAAGTGTAAGTCCTTGAGACACATGTGTAGTCAGAGTAGAAACACTTGCCGTAGCCGTATTAAGTAATGAAGTTACGTCCCAATTTCCCCAACTATTCCAGTTTCCTAAAGAATTTTCTGGTTCTTTGCTTGCCAAAGACAATCTCTCCAATACAGGCTCTAATTTTTCTTCCATCAAATCGTCGGGCAATTCGATATCATTTTCAAGTCCTTCCCATCCTTCAGGCTGAAAAATTTCTTTAAATTTTTTATTTGACTTTAATTCCTCTGGTACGTCCATTTCTGGCAAGTCATTTATACCTGTTGCTTTAGATTGATCATCTGCTGGTTGATTTTTGTTTTTTTGCAATCCACATTCTGAATCTTTGCTCATAGATTCTAGAGATCTTTTATTCGAACACTCGGCTAAACACTGAGTTTCTATATTTTCATTGTCGCTATCCTTTGTAATTCTAGTTGCCAATTTCTTTGTACCTAAATGATGAGACAAGTTTCGTTGTTGCGTTCTCTCGGAAACTTTTTCAGCCTTTGTCGGTTCTGCTTTAGGCATGGCATCTTCTGATTCTACAACTATACTGTTGTCCGTTATAAATTCAGCATTTTTGTCCTTTACTGATATCGCAGAAGTTGAGAAAGGTGATTTCTTTGATTCGATGGATGACGTATCATTTTGATTATTAAAAGTCTCTACTGACTTAACTGTACGTATATCGCCTTCACCTTTGACATCACTATCAATTTTATCATCCTTATCACCGACTAGTGTCTCTTGACTTGTTACCACATTCGATTGCCTGGTTTTTCTTCTTTGCCAATTCGAACTTTTGTAAGGCGCTTGTTGGACGTATTCAGTGTCGTCGTCCGACTCGGAATCGACCGTTGACGATGTCCAATAGGTTATTCGAGTGTCTTTCTTGAGAGGCCCATTACGACCCAACTCCTCGTCAGCGCTTTCAAAGTCGGTGTCGCTATCGGACGTTACCATATCTCTCGTTAAAGTTTATATATTCCTAAAAACATTTATATATCCCACAATTCTATGTTCAAGATTAAAATAAATTCGCAGAACTATACCGATATCTTATCAAAAGGGTTAAAACTTCCTCGGCAGCAAAACGCAAACACGTATTAACATATGTTCCAATTTATTATACATGTATATATATATATATATAGATGTATGTGTTTGTTTGATGTGTTACGTGCCAAACATTGCGGTCACGTGGATGACAAAGTCATCGGAGAGGCATGTCTGGAACGTCAAATTCGCATACGCCTTCGTGGCATTAGCGGAGATTATTGCGCATGCGACAGGATTGGTTCGGGGCTGCGTTAAAGAGTGAATCCATTCCTTGCAGCTTCACATTTCACATTTATAGGCGACGCGTTTATAATAAAATTATATATGATACGCTTAAATTTTATTTTAACAAACACCTAATGACAACGACATATTCGTTATTTAATTAGCAAATGGTATCTAAATATGGGATACAAATCGAATCTTTGATCGCCAGAGCAATAATCGATAATCGTAGGATCCGGACTAAATTTCCTACATTCGAAAAATAACGTTTAATTTCTAATTTTTACAATTTTACAGATTTTACACTCTGTCAGAGAATCATCGACATCCTTGACGCTGTATTTCGTACTCAAAACGGTCCCTGAAAGCCTGGAGGTGCACCTGCGCCCACGAGTCGTACAGTGGCGCCATTCGAGCGGCGTAGCGGCAAATATGCGAAAATATCAAAAGGGCAATACGTTCGTCTATTCCCGCCGCGCTCCCTCCCCCTGCCCCTCTCCCATCGCGGTTCGCGCGCAGCGGTCAGAGACACACGGGCTTACCGGCGGTGGGAGAGAGAGAGAGAGAGAGGGGATGCGAGCGAACGTCGGCGAGAGTTCGACGAGGATCGAGGATAACCGGGCAGCAAGTTGGAGACGAGTGGAACAAGGAGAGGGCGACGATCGAGCGAGCGACGAGGACGATCGTCGAACAGAGACGGACGGGGGGGGGGGGGGAGGCGGCCGTAGTGGAGGGAGACGCCGACGTTCTTGCGGTATCGGACGATGAGGGGAGATCGGAGGAGTCGTGACGAGAACAGATAGAATGCGAGCGGGAAGAGAGAGAGAGAAAGAGCGAGAGGTATTGCCAGATTCGCGCACGGCATGAACGTCCAGTGGCATGTCTCAAACACTCGGCATGTTCGAAGCTGACGCGAGGCGGTAGTATAGTAGTCGGAAACGAGGAAATCCGTCCGTCGCGTATTTACCGCGAAAAAGACCTAGTGTACGCATTCTGTTCCGGCAGCGAGGACGGACAATTTATTCCCGAACTGTATTATCGCGAAGGTATTATCGCGATTTTCCTTCCATCGTTTCTCGACCGACGAGATCGCGCGGGCCGGACGATTGGCGATATCCTCGTCCGCGTATCGCGAAATTAAGCCGGAACGGGAGTTTGACGCGAAAAAAAAAAAAAAGAAAGAAAGAAAAGATAAAAGCGGGAGAGAAAGATAAAACAAAAAAAAAACAAAAAACGCTAGATCGTCCTCTCGTACGCGCCGAGAGAGGGCGTCTGGTTCCCACATTCTTGCGTGCGAAAAATCCGAGATCCGCTGCTCGGCATTAGCATTACAGTCGCGGCTAATGCAACGAGGAAAAGGGAACACGGTGAAACGTGCTCCGCCGCCGTCGCTGCCGTACGAAGCCGGCGATAGCGCGCGTCGCTCAAAACGGGTCGCGGGCCGTTCCGTCACCGCCACCGTCGCCGCCACCGCCGCCGCCGCTGCCGCCGCCGCTGCCGCCACGAGAGACACGACGTCGTCGCTGTAGCGTTCGGCAGGGAGATCGCAACGGTGCGCGGCAACGTTCACGCGGGTCAAATCGCGCGCGGCTCGCACGTCACTTCGAGTCGCGAGCGATCGTTCAAATTCGCCGGTCGCGAATTGACGGACGATTACGACTCGATAAAGTGCGAGACAGCCGTCAGTTTGAAAACTCGTGCGCGCCGAAGTGTGTATACGGGCAAACCGTCTGGGTGACACTCCGGCGAGGGAGCGATATTATCGGAGGGTGAAAGTTGTGCGAATCGAGGCCGTGACGAAGGAGGATAACAAAAGAGTGCGCGGTGGGAATCTCGGGGGGGGGGGGTCTCTGTTTCTCGTTGTTTTTCTTTTTATTTATTATCTCTCTGGTGGTGAGAATCGAATTGAGAGAAAAAGAGAGAGAGAGAGAGAGAGAACGAGTGTCAGATGTAAAGAAGATTATCCGAGTGTGCGCGAGTGCAACTGGAAGGATAATAAGAAGGTGAAGAAGGTGGGAAGAGGAAGGCCACCGCGCGGGAAGGTGGTGTGGCGATGATACGCCAAGTGCATCCGATCGATGCACCCGTGCGAACGCAACACGACGACACTGTCACCGTCGCTGCTGCTGCTGCTGCTGTTGCTGTTGCTGCTGCCGCCGTCGCTCGCCGCCTCGGGCTGCTGCTTCTCCACGGCCGGCTATGTTAACGGTGGAATTCCGCTCGAGAGGAATCTGAAGGCGGGGACTCTGACGTCACTCCGCTCATGATAATGAGGTATTCATGATGGCGGAGTAGTGAGCAAGAATCAGAGAGAGAGAGAGAGAGAGAGAGAAAGAGAGAAAAGAGTTGGCGCGCACATATACGTTCCTGGTCGTTGCGCTTGGTGTATGTGTGTGTGCGTGCGTGTGTGTGTGTGTGCGCGTGCAATACGTTTTATCTCCATCTTTGTTGCTTCATTGCCGCTTCTCGCTCACTCTGTTCCCCTTCCACCTGTCCACTCCGACTGGGTCTTCTCTTTCGCGTTTCTCCCCCCCCCCCCCATCTCTCTTTCCGCCTCTATCCCTTTCCCACTTCCCTCACCTTCCGTCTCGTTCTCTCCTATTCTCACGTTGGCCGAGCGAGCGAGGTGTATAGGCGGCTCGAGAAGCGTGTGCCCGCGCGCACAGATATGCGCCCGTCGATTGCACGGTGATAGAGAGAGAGAGAGAGAAAGAGAGCTTTTGGATGGATTTAGAGCGCAGTGAAATATGCCAAGGAGACGGAATGGGGAGATACCGCTTCCGGAAGGATGGGACGTCGCCCAGGACTTCGATGGGAAGGTGTACTTCATCGATCACAACACACGGAAAACTACGTGGATCGATCCTCGTGATAGGTATGTAAAAGAAAATCGCAATCGCGTTCTTCTCCCGCTTCGCGCATCCTCGAGGTGCGCGCGCGCGCGAGCGCGAGCGAGAAATTCGCGTGCACGTGTGCGCGCCGAGCTGTCACATGTGTACGCCGCGCTGTCACATGTGTGCGCCGCGCTGTCACATGTGTGCGTGAGCTCGAGCGTCACGACGATGCGAGATACGTTCCCCTCTCTCCTCCCTGTCACGATTTCCCCTCCCTCTTTCCCGCGCACGAGACCGCGATCTCGCGAGGATACGCGATTCGGCGGGAATGCATGTATACGGGGTGTACCGCGCGCTTTCTCCATACATTCTACAGCAGATATATGTGTACGGAGAATCGACATTTTTCTTATTTGGTAAACCTTCTTAATCGATCGTTTTTAATACACGAAAAATTCGGTTATAAAAGTACGTTCAGAATATCTGCTTACAACCTGGAGAATTGAATAAAACAAACGCGCTTAATTGTCAGTTTAAACTTATATATACAGATGCGAAAATACAAACATAAATAAAATAGTATCTTTTGCGGTGAGAGAGGGAGGAGAGGAGAAGGAAGGGATTGTGTGCATACTATAATGGCCTCATTCTGGGGTATTTTCGTTTTATCGAGCGCGGAAGTTTGATCGATATATCTCTTGCTGATTTTGAGATTTGAATCATAATTCAAAAAGAGAGAGAGATTTTTATATAAAATTAACGATGAGATACATTATTATTTATTTACGTTTCTCAAATTTTTAATTTGCTAAAACTCGATTTAATTCTCAATCGTATATGATGGAAAAGAGTAAAATTGATATTTCAGTACTGGAACAGCGTCATTGTTTCTAATACCTGTCGTAGAGAGAAAGTGTGCAACTTCCAAGACATCTTGTATGCGAACGTAAATCGCGTGCTCCGAAATCGCGTGACATTGTTCAAGTGTGAACACTCCTTAACGTGTCTTCGCATACTTTCCGCGAGCGAGTACGAACTCTCTCGATATAATCTTTTTTTTTTTTTTTTTTTTTTTTTTTTCAAAGATTTCGCGAATCTTCGCGACGATTTTTATTCATATTATAACTCGGCGGACAAACTGACACAATAAATGTCAGTGTCATCGTACTTAACCTCGTGTGTGAACACTGCTTAAGTTTGATAAAGTATACATATACGTGTGTATATGCGTTACACACGCGCAAATTGCAATCTCGAAGATTGCATCAAACAAACACTACTTGATGAAATTTAATCTCTTTTCTTTCTCTACAATTAATAATCATGAAATTGTTCTCGCGATATCTACTTGCGTGTCCGAAAAATCGAAAAGAGATGTCTGACAATTTTTGATAATTTTCAAGATTCACTCATTTGACATATAATATTCTAGCATCTTTAGATATGAAGGACAATAAAAAATGTGTGTATATATATATAATGTAATATGCAATATGTAATAAATATAATATAATATTGATTATAATACACATAATAAATAAACAAAATTTAATTTAATTTAAATTTTGAATTGAAATTTACTTTAATTTAAATTTTGGAAAATTAAATTAAATTAAATTTTGTTTATTTATTATGTAATATTTCTTAAATGAAAATTGATTAGAAATATTGTCAGACATTTCGCACATTTTATCATTTACGATTTTCATTTAGAAGATAACGAGGAATCCTTTATCGAGAGATCGCGCGTTATCTGACGTTATTTCAACGATAACGATGTCCTGAAAAAATCTTTGCGCTAAATTAACTGCGGATTAACGACAGCTGTTATCGCTGTTCTATAAAAAAGCATTCCGCCCCCTGATACTGTTATCAGCCTTTTAAGCGATAGTCCGCATACCAGCGATATTCTTCGTTGAATCGAACATAGATTTTCCTTCTTCGTGTATATATCTCACGCGTCGGTGATAGTCCCGCGATCTTAGGTATAATCTACGATCCCGTGTAATTCTATCGTCTATCTCGCGATCCTCTTCACATTCGTCGCGATCCAAACGTGATCCCGCTACGTGTCTATGAAAATCTATGCCCGCACAGACCGAACGGTACAATGTTTTCTGCGAAATTAAGTTCGCGCAGAGATCTTTTATATTTTATCTTTTAGACTGAAAAATGGCAAAGACTCTTTCTTTTTTAAGTACTTATCTTTTTCTTGTAAATGTATAACGATACGAGAATTTATGAATTTTATCTTTTGAATAACGCGTGGTATTACAGAGATTCATTCATATAATTATCTCCTCTCATCACAGGGGACACGAATCTCGGGCGAGTTTAATCTTTAAAACGTGTGACGGGTCTTTGAACAGGGTGTCTACACCTTGTTGAAAAACATGGAAAACCTTGGCTTTTCAGGGACTTCTTTTGTACTTGAAAAGATCCATGGACTTCTCATGGAATTTTATTGGGACTTGGAAAATTTCTTTAAAAAATTCTCTGTTCGATAATTTTGTTTTTATATTATAAACAGTCGGCAAGCCAAGTAAATTATGTGTTTAAAATATTTTATAAATATATATTTATATGTGTTTGATTAAATTTGTACAACTGTTTTCAATTAAAATATTTGTATAATTTTTTATTTTCAATTGGTTCAATTTTTTCGTATCATTATTTTTGTAGAATATATGTAGGAAATTAAAATAACTATTTTGTACACACAACTTTTTTTGGTTAAAATATTTTTATAAGTTTTTATTTCCAATAATTTAAAGTAACACTATTTTGTGCAGATTAAATTAAAATAACTATTTGTTTATATATATTCGATGTCTTAACAAAATATTGAATATGTAGTACATACTCTTTATTGTAATTTTTAGTGACAACAAAATGAAAATTTTATATGCAAATGAAAAATACTTATCTTACGAAAAATATTCAGTTTTTTTCTTTTTTTTCAGTACATTTATAAATATAACATTTGGAACTTAAAAGGCTTTGTTTTTCCTTCATATGAATGAAAAACATTAGAAAATGTATACAATAAAAAAAACTTATTTTAGAAAGCTGTACCCCAATAAATCTTCAAAATATTTTCTTTACCTGGAATTTTGAAAAAATACCTGGATGATCAGGAAATATTTTTACAAGATTAGACACCCTATTGAATCCGATTTCGCGAAAGATTTTCTTGAAAATATTTACAAAGAGCCCGCGAAGAGCGTGGGGGGAGGGCAGAGGAGAATCGTGCTTTCGACGAAGGCCGTGTGTGAGCGCCGCTTAACACACCCGACACTGTGTATTCGCGCGCGAGTACGCGTATATATCCATAGCATATATACCGCGCAATGCGCCGAGGACTCGCCGGGACTCGCCGCGCCCGCATTCCATCCGCCAGGGCCGCTCTCTCGCCTCGCTGAAAAACGCGAGAAATCTGGCGATCAGGCTCGGGCCTCGGCGCGAAAATCGAAACGCCGTCGTCGTCGTCGGATCTTGCAAATCGAGATGACGAAGAGGGATGATACGTTAAAAATTCGCCGCGCCAATTTCTCTAAACTTGTAGAGTGTCCACTCCTTGGAATAACATGGATGGAATTCTCAGGAAATTTTTTTGTACCTGCAGAAATCAGAGAATTCTCATGGAATTTTAATTGGGACTCGAGGAATTTTTTTTTAAAAATTCTATCTTTGATAATTTTGCTCTTGCAATCCTACTGTATATAAGCAATAGGCAATCCGCCAATAAACCAAGTTGTGAATTATGTGTTTAAAATATATTATAAATATATATCTATTTCTGTTTATATACTGAATATCTTAACGAAATATTGAATATGCAGTTCATATTCTTTATTTTAATTTTTAGTGATAAAAAAATGAAAATGTTATGCAAGTTAAAAATTTTTATCTTAATAAAAGCTATTCAGTATTTTTTCAGTACATGTCGAAAATTAAGTGGCTTTGTGATTTTTCCTTTGTATGAATGAAAAGCACTAGAAAACGCGTGCAATAAAAAATCTTATTTTAGGAAATTGTACCAAAATATTCTCTTTATATGGAATTTTGATCAAAGATACCTGGAAGATCAGGAAACTCTCAGGGATTTTTTTTACAAAATTTTAGTAGACAATCCTGAACTTATAAAACTTGTCAAGTATCTACCCATTCAAACGCGCCTAATTTTTGTCCGCTGAAAAAATTCTGTCGCAAATAATAATGTATCGGTATGTAGGTAGAAAATATATTCTGTCATCTCATTTAACCGCTTCTTTATCATAACGATACGTCGAACATTTATAAACCAAAAGAGAATTGTGCAATGAGAAAGTCATAGTGTAGAGTTTGAGCATACATGCTTCAAAATAAAAAAGTATGTGCACGAAACAGAGAAATATATAATGTAATTATAATAAAATATATAATGTGAATGAATTATACAATTTGAAATATAGTTATCAAAATTTCCTTTCTTTAAAAGTCTTGAAAAGCGAGTTCATCTTGTGAAATGGTGTATATATATATATATAATATGTTATATAACAATTTTATATATAAAATAGTTATATAACATATAGTAAATCCAATTGAAGTGAGATTATATTCTCGGGACAACAGTAGCAGTATAATAAAAAGAGACATCATTTCGCTCATTTTCTACGGTTTACTGTTACCCCCGTTAATGTGGCCTGTCCTTTCCCTTGGTTAAACGCCTAAGCCACTTCGGAATGAACTTGTTTTGTTGGCCAATTTGTAAGCTGTCGTTTCGCGGCGCGAAAAAAAAAGTATGATTTACGATTGCTACCTCGTAAAAGTGCCGGTGGGGTGACGCCGCGAAATGTTCGCCCGGCGAGATATATATCTCTTCGTGGTTTACGCACAACGTGATGGGGCTCGCGGGAGAGGGAGGGATGACAGGGGCGAGAGGGTTGGGGGTTGTTGCGATAATGCAAAGATTAATGCCGAGATTCGTAGATGACGTTAAAAATGTCAGACGCGAATTTTTTATTCCGAGCGTCTGGCAGCGTCGACGCGATGCATT